TTAAAAGTAGGAGAATTGATTTTTTGAAATATGGATCGTTTGATCAATTGAAGTCAAAGTAGAAATTGAGAAACGGATGTTCCTTTGTAAGAAAGAATTCAATATTTCCGTACCATTTGTGATCGTTTCGTTGGATGGCCTGGTCCAGTAAGTGATTGCTGTTGGATAAGCCTCACTGTGACATTCCAGGACAAGAGTTTGGCCCTCGTAAGCACCAACTAACTGATTTTCAATCCATATCATTGGCTGAACTGCGAAAAGAATTTCTGATAATAATCCCTGGAATATTTCCTATCGTACATTGAGTGTTTCGTTCATTTGCAACCAGAGATTCGATGAAATTTTTCATATATACGTAGAAAGCATAATAACAACTTGTTAAGCGACGAGAGATTAACTTGACTTGAAAAATATTGCATCTGTCAAATCTTTTTCGCGTCATGTTTCTCGATTATAGATATTGTCGGAGAAGTTGCTAAAAATTATTTTCGTGCGACAAGATATCAGCAAACGAGAGTCTCTTTGAATATTCCTTGCAATTGTGTTGTATTAAAATCCACGAATTATTATTGAAAGGCTTCGTTAATATAAGAAGCGAGCCGCTTCTATTTCCGAGAACCGTAGATTTCATTTCAATTGATATCAAAGGAAATTCAATCATCTGCAATTTTTCTCTGTTTCTCGTTGCCATGTTTCTCCTTCCGTGCGGATCATTGTTCTGGAAGTAATACGTCATGAAACTGAAAGCTTAGCGATGTTTATTTTTCGAAATTTCATATTTCCTTTTTGCAAGGAGATTTCACTGATATCCAAGTGAATTCCAATTATCCACCATTTTTCCAATCTCCTGTATCTATATTGTGTACTTTCTCCATGTCGAACATCGCAGAACGAATCTACCCGTGTATCAATTAATAAACTCCACGGAAAGTAAAATTACAATCTACATCTTTAATATTGAAGTCGAGGAGAACTTTTCACGTTTCATGGATGCCAATGAAAGTCTAGATTTCATTTGATTGTATCGAGTTTGAAATTCAATTCATATGTACATCGATTCGTCAGAGACAATACACGACGCTGAGTGTCTCCTTTAATTAAATTTACTTATTTGTTTAGTAGGTATTTTACTCGTCGTTTAATTATGTACGATTTTCAGCACTTGTTGACAATTTCTATGATTCACGCATTGCTAAAAAGTCGTCATAAAAAATTTGATAATACGAATTACGTTTCAAACCACGAATTCAACTCGAGGATCATTTTCGAAACTTTGCTCGTATGCGAGAGACGATACTTTAAATTATTTATTGTTAATTTTACATTAATTGCTTGACACTAAAGCAGAAAACAGGGAAACAGAACTTTTAAATGAAAATGTATTAACGTTTCTCAAGTCTTCCGTTCCAATACTATTCCAATTCTTCTCAGAGACCTAAATTTCCCGATTAACCGATATTCCAATGATCCAGATTCTTTGAAAAGACACTTTTTTTTCAAATATTCCAAATCGTATAATTTCGGGGGAAAGGGATTTGGCACACGCGAGTAAATTCGGGATATCAGTGGATCTTTTTTGCTTTTTTGCTCGCAGCTCAAAGCGTGGCCGTGTCAGCGGCCCTTATTTTAATCAATCCGTGAAGATGGCCGGACAGGTGGGTTCGTGACAGCAGAGATTTGCCGCCGGCAGAAAATATTTAAGGCGTTAGTTCAGCGCCGGAAACAATGGTCCTCTGCATCTGCCATTCACGGCCTCCCAAGTGGCGTCATTATGGTACCGTTATTCTCCCGACAGATCCGCGACCACGTAGCAAGACCTTAAATTGCATTTTCCAACACGCGTGCATAATGCATTGTTAGCGCTTTCGGTTGTTTGCCTTTGTGCCAAGCTCGTACGCCATTAGCTGCTCTCCGAGTCGAAGCGTTTTCGATTTATACGACCGATTAAATCGTCCTTCGTTAGCCAATTAAAGCGCAAATGAAATTACTTCTTTCGGTTCGAACAACGAACTTTTACTAGAATCGATATCGACTCGCGATCAGTTTCGACAATTGATCCGCATTTGTTAACTTTAATTCAACAACATAATTTATATCTTTTACATAACATATTTATATTTTTATACCATAGCCATGTTATTGAACTATATAGTGTTGTTACGTTATAGCATAATTTAATGTATAATTACAGAGTAGATCGCGTTCACGCGAAACTTAGATCTCAGAACTCTGGAAATTTGAGAATTTGGAAATTAAATATCGGCTTAAAGTTTGAAACTTGCATGGAACTTATCACGCGTGCGTGTAAAATAAAATTCCAAAGTGTTTCAGATCATACAATACAAACATTTAACGGACATAAAAAAATTTCGTGCCTACTTCTGAACCAAGTGATACGTAGTTCTATATACATAGTTGTTTGAAATATATTTCAGGTGTACTTACAGTAAACATTGAGGACGATCCGTTTGCTGACGGCTGGGGGCACGCCGTTCGACGCTATGCACAGATACGGCCCCATATCTGAACGTGTGACACGAGTCAGCTTCAGCACCGAGCCCTCGCCTACTGCAACAAAACGTGGAATAAACGTAGAGTGATGGGTGCCATAAGCGGGTGGACCAGATCATTTGGGGCCGTGATAAATTTCGAAAAATCGCTATCGCTTTCGTCCAGCCGCGCGCAACTAAACTCAAATAAAAGCTGCGTAAAAACTCGGCGCATCAAGCAGTCGACTTCACGTAATTTCGATTAAATGCCTGTTGCGTCGTTTCGTTCATTTCTTCTTCTTCTTCTTTTCTGTCTTTTTGGTTCAGTTAATTTTGCGAGATTCTTTTCGAACGTACATCGAGTGAAGTGATACAGACTTTGATTGATATGTTAAATTCTACGTTACTTAATTTCGAAATTTCGTTGCTTGAATTAATTTCACTTCAATGCCGGGGAAAATATAAAATAGGATTAACAGGCTCGAGATGTATTTGTAATCAAGAACGATGCTTCATGCGAAAAGTTAACGTGCATTTTACATTTATAGACTTCCCTCTTCCTGTATTACGTCTTCCTTTACTCTGCTCCGGTAAAGAAATTCCCTAGGCACACATTCGGTCATGTTCGTTCGGAATCGCGAGTAGCTACAGATCCTTCTCTTCCGCTTCAAGTAACCAATGTCACTCTTCCCTTTTTTCTTTAATTTTTGAAATGCAGACGATGAAATGAAATTTCGATAGGAAATTCACCTCTTAACACAAATTTACTCTTACAGCCAGTTTTTTCAAAAGCTAAGCGAAGAAGGATCTTCTAAGGCGAAGCAGCCTCAATTTCTTTATTTACAAACCTCGTGGATCAACTGATGAAATTTTAAAAGGAATTCTTTATACGTTACGCGTACAATACAACGTTATTAAGGAGCATCCGTTGGATTTCTGTTGTTTAATTAATCCACGGGATCGAGGAGATTATTACACCGGACGGAACAGATCCTTATGCACTGGCGTTTTTAAAATAATAAATATCAGAAGCTTAATGAGTCTTTTGCTCTCCTGAAGAACTGAAGCTTCAAATGAGATCTATTATTAAAACATTCTTCGAGGAGCACCTTCGCGTTTTGAAGTGAAAAATTTTCAATTAAATTTATGCATTTCTCGAATATTCCCGCGTTTTTGGCGAATTTAGCATTCCAAAGTTCTACGGGATACATATAACGTGCAGAAATATGTAGAACATTCAAAGTAGAATTTTAATCGCGATATCTGGCAGATGAAATGAATCCCTATTGCGTATGTAATACGGGAAAATATAACATGCAGAAACACGTGAAATATTCAAGAGTACAGTATTAATCGCGATAACAAGTATTTAGAAAAATGAAACGTTATCCCCGGTTTAAATTTAATTCTACTCAAATTCTATTACAAAAAGGTATAAAAACTTACGTGTGTTGTTAATCAGATTTCTCAAGAAACAAAATGTGCAAATGCGCAACATTCTCTGAATAATACATAGAGAAGAATATGCACAAAGGTTTTGAAAATACATTCAAAGTACATCTGAAAAAGCTTTATCGTTGAACACGCGAGTTTTCATTCGCGAGAAACGAGCGGGAAACAAATCTCCATTTGAATCTCGCATCTTAAAATCGAATTATCAAACGAAATGGAGATTGATGAAATTTACGCGATATCTTTATTACGCCAGTACTTACAGAAAATCGTCCTTGGACCCGCGATCACGAAAATTAAATTACATGCTGCGGTAATTAAGCGGATTCGCATATTCAATATGGTAAGTGTGCATTCTCGTTAACGGCGAGTACACGGAATAGGTGAATTGTTATAAAGTTTGCCGGCTGTTTACGTAATCAATGCCTATGTTTACGAGTAATAACGTTACCGGGCGGCTGCTGTTAAGGCTGGTAAACGTTAAATATGATTATACCCAGGGAACGGCTGTAATCTGCTGGAAAATATTCGAGCCACGAGAAGTCGGAGCGCGATACACTGGATACGAGTGGATGAACGCTGCAAGGGAAAAACGGAAAACCTGCTTAAGAGATTTAATTAGATCGCTCGAGGGGGCCGCGTAAGTGATGTAACCGCGTTTAAGGAGACCTCCTCTCTGACCCGTGAAATTTCGCGTACCGACGATTTATTAAAGTAGCGACTGTAATGGCAACGGCCATGAAAGGAGATGCTAATTTCCTAACGTTATGAACCTCAATGGCGTACGTTATTTGAGAATCTGAGAACGGGGCAGAGCCGACATGTACGTCAATGCTGTAGAAATACGAAACAGGCTGAATGAATGTACGAAATATAGGCACGAAGTGTTGCAGCCACGTTCAACGTGATTTATTGTTACAATCGAATGAATCTATGCAGTCGTATCTTCTAAATTTAATCGCAAGATAGTTTAAAAATTTGACAAACCTTTCAGCGACGGATATTATCTAAAGCTATTTCTATTTGAAAATGGCCCAGTAAATTGGTCAATTGGTTGTCTTAAATATAGATTTTTATTATCAGTATTATTAATTTTTTTATGAGGCTAGATCTTTCCAAAATATCAAAAGAAGCATGGCACAAAGTAAAAAATGAATATACTGAAAGCTCAATCGATTAACCAATCATAATATTAATTTTTTAGTTCGCGAGTTATGGTTTAAATAATTACGAGTTGAATACTTTCCCCATAATATGAAACTTGTACTTCAGTAACTCTTTCTACAATGCTACAACATTCCCCCTAACAAAACGAGCATAAAGCCGCGGCTGTAATGACTTGAAACTTTCCTTAAAAACATTCAAAGCGCGGCGGAAGATTCATAATGTAAAATAACTATTAACCAGCTAAATAAAGGCAGGTGGCGGTCCAAGAGTTTCACTGTGAAAGTTTAACGATTCAAAGGAAATTTCATACGCAACTTGGAGTCGCAGTTTCTCGAAAATGCAGCCAACACCGCAATAATCAGAAATTCCTTTTTTTTTTCTTCTTTTTCTTCTTCTCCTTTTTTTTTTTTACGGAGAAACTTTCCTTCGCAAGCTTTCAGAATTCCCTCCCTTTATAAAATTAGGAAATCTCGCAATTTACAATATCATATCATGCCGAGGACTCTTCGCTCGGACGAGTTTAATTTTCATGCAGTCAACTTTTAAACGGAAGGCCTTTCAAAGTGAAATCCAACGCTGTTCCGCCCGGTTTGTTTGTCATTCGATTCTTTTGATTTAGAATCTCCTGCTGATTTCTGCGAAATTGATGGTCAAGTTGAAAGCCGAAGCTCAATTTTGTAAAAAAAAAAAAAAAAAAAAAAA